TAATGGTCGAGATATGGAACATTGAAAATAATGTCAATAATAAAATGGTGTCACGACCATTGTATAGGAGTCGCTTACAACGTGAACACTTACATCGTTTAATTGGTGAGAGTGATACAAATTGTATTAACCAATTCAGAATTGACAGACACACGTTTGGGGTATTATGTAATTTAGTGCGTGATTTAGGAGAATTACATCCTAGTCAAAATGTTAGTGTAGAGGAGATGGCTGCTATGTTTTTATCTATCTTAGGGCACGATGATAAAAATAGGCTGGTTAAGTTCAACTTTCTTCGCTCGGGTGAAACGGTTAGTCGACATTTCAATAATGTATTAATTGCGGTGTTGAGGTTGAGAAGGGTGTTTCTTAAGTCACTTCAGCCAATTTTGGAGAGCAATATTGACCCGAAATGGAGGTGGTTCAAGGTAAATTTTATGTCACTATATTTACCTCTTCTCCAATTTCTCATTTTTTTTCATTTATAAGGTAGTATACATTTCAATATTTTTTTTTGCTTTTGTCTTGTAGAATTGTGTGGGTGCCTTAGATAGCACTTGTGTTCTAGCACGAGTACCTCTTGTCAATCAAGCTAGGTATAAAACACGTAAAGGAGAAATAGCAACAAATGTGTTGGGTGTTTATGACCCAGACATGAAAATAATTTACGTGCTTCCCGGATGGGAGGGGTCGGCTGCTAATTCTAGAATATTACGTGATGTCGTGACTAGACCTAATGGATTGAAGGTAGCACGTGGTAAGTTGAGTTATAATGTGTTACATTAAATACAAAATGTTTAGGGGTATACACAACGTTATAGATTAATCCACCTTATTGCATACATCACAGGGACTTATTACCTAGTTGATGTAGGGTACACAAATGGGGAGGGATTTTTAGCACCATTCAAGGGTCAAACATATCATATACAAGAGTTTGGGGCAGGTGCGATAGCTCCCCGTAATCTAGAGGAATTGTTCAACCTTCGGCATTCAGCCGCAAGGATATCCATTGAGAGATGTTTTGCCTTGTTGAAAGATAGATGAGCAATCCTTAGAGCACCTTGCTACTATCCGGTTCACATACATAATCGAATTATAGCTGGGTGTTGTTTGTTGCACAACTTGATAAGAAATGAAATGAGTGTGGACCCAATAGAGAAAGAGTTGTCTAAGGTAATTCACGATGAATGTGGTGGTGATAATGATGTCATAGACACTGTTGACATGTCAGCTAAATGGTCATTATTTCGAAATCAATTAGCGTTGAAAATGTACAGCAAGTGGAGAATGTCACGTGGCCAACCTACTATATAAGTTTGTTGTGATTGTGCAAGTACTGTGGGATATTGGTTTTAATGTAGATTGACATTTTTACCTTGAGTCAATTTTAATATTAGTATTCATGTCTTAAGTTTTTATATGGTGATACTACGTTTGTAACTATACAACATAACTAAAATTATTTTGCTTATCATTTTCTTTGTGCAGCATAGTATGTTTGAGCCAGGTGGAAGTTCATAGACAAAAAAGGGTATAAGAAGGACATGGACGCAAACTGAAGAAACTTATCTCATCGCATCCCTTAGGGACCTTTGTGTAATGGTTGGAAGTGCCAAAACGACACTTTCAGACTTGGGTACCTCCAAGCTTTGGAACAGAGTTTGCGAATTGCAATTCCTTGTTGTGAATTGCGGTCTTCCCCACATTGAGTCTAAGATGAAGATTTCGGAAAAAAAATTATAACTCCTTATTCATGATGATGGCCACGTTTGGGTTTGGTTTAATACCTCCGAGAATAAGATTATAGTTGATGGTGATGACATTGGGAAAGACTACTTGAAGGTGAAATAATAAATTTCAATTATAGTATTGTGGACACAAAATTACACATGTCTTGGAATTAATTGTGTAAATGTGTACTTGTGTGGAATGATAGAAATGCTAAGGGCATGCGTTAGAAGTTATGGCCTTACTTCAATCATTGGGTAGTCATATTTGGTAAGGACCATGCCACAAGAGAGTATGTGGTGGATTTGGAAGACACGGTGGGTGATGCTTAGGTGGAAGCTTCTATGCGTGAAACAGATAACATTGATGGACCGATGCATTTCGGTGAGGATGACTCTGCCTTACATAGCGCGAATAATCCAATTGGAGATGATGATGGTGTTAAGCCTAGTGTTGGGACTCCATCGAAAAGTAAGAAAAGAAAAGCACACCGTGTTCATAATGTGGCCGAGTCAGTAACAAAGAGTTTGTTAGACATCTCTAAAGTATTTGGTGACTATGTGCATGATTGTCGAAATCAACTAGACATGATAGCAAACGGTGTTGGGTATAACCACGATGTTGCTGATGCACGTAGAAAAAGTGAATGCAGAACTAGAAAAGATAAATGGTTTGTCTATGGTGGATCGACAAGTTGCCTTTAAAATAATTTGTTCGGACCCTGTTAATGTAGATATCTTCTTCAGCTTGCCTGAGTATGAGCATCCTACGTGGGTTGGCGGACTACTTTGGAACCTTGTACTTGATGGAGGACGACGTGTATTTGTTTACGGACCATTAAAAACAATGCCTAAGGGACTTTTTTGTTGAACATTTTAGTTGATTGTAATTTTATGTCATTATGGACGCATATATGTAACATGCATATATTTTGGTTGTTATGATGAATATGCGAATTAATTTTTATTCGTACCATGTTACCAGTTTTAATTGGTCAATTTTATGAATGACATGCATATACACTATTTTCTAGATTTGGTTGTTAACAATTACTTTATATGGTGTCAATAGCAATGAACAGGCGGGATCGATGGTATGTAATATTTGTTGGGCGACAAGTTGACATTTACCATTTATGGCCAGAGTGTCATATACATGTGCATAGATTTTCTGGTGCCAAGTCTTGTGATTCATATAATGAGGTTGACTATGCATTAAGTATTCACCTTAGAAGGTTGGAAACGGAAACGGTTGGTGCACATGTTGATGATATTGTAGGGAAAGACAATGCAATGTTAGACAGCCCTGAACATGTTGCAATGGAAGATGTTGTACCCCCCATCTATCCTTGTGCAAAGATGTGTGAATCAGCGAGATATAATGTGGTGCATTATTAGTGTTATGATGTTTTTTTTGGTGTAATCATAAGTCATGTTGTGTATTTTTTTGGGGGGTAGATTTGGATGACAGTTCGAATTCTTTTAAACGTATTTTGTAGTATGTATTACCTAATTGTTCCCATATAGGTTGGTAATCTACAAAATTATGAAAATTGTGATGTAAGTTGGTTAGTAAGGGCAAAGTCATTTTGGAATTGTTGATTATGCACATATGTAAAATGTCTTCATTTGTTTGTAAAATTTTAAAATTATGAGCATTTCCTAAATTAATTATGGCAAATGTTTCTCATTGATGCATCTAATGTGAAGTTGCAAATGTTTTACATAGGTATGAGGATTCCAATTATGACTGCAGATGAAACTGATGTGATGATTGACACATTAATTGACTACAAAAATCGGAACTTATTACCTCCTCACGGTAGATTGGATAAGAAAAAGATGGATCGAATGCTAGAGGTCCTAAACAGACGTCTCCCAGGCTTTATCCTATCATTGAGCAAGGTATTATAGATGATCTTTTTTTGGGAGCGAATCTATTTCACAATTGCAGATATGTTGGATACAGGAAAATTTTCTTGGGACAACCGCAATAAGTGTGTTATCAAAGGAGATGTTGAGGGCTCGAATGAATACTTAGACGTAAGTGTCCATCATTATTTTCAGTGTGAATTACATCCCTTTTTGGTTGGTAACACAACTTTATTAAATTATTTGTTGTTTACATCATGCAGGACGTCCAATTTGCTGTGGAATACTGTCTAGACCCATATCCTAACTACCACTATTTTGAAGTCATTTTCAAGAATGATGTTCCACTAACAGGCAGACAAACTTCAGATAGTGTAGGATCCTCACCATCGGTGAATTCTACCCCAATCATCGATGTTATAGTCATTGATGAATGACTTCTTCAAATAACCCCAATCAAAATTTGGAAGTACCATCTACAACTGTTGGGTTTCATTTAAGATTCTATATAACAACCTAGTATTGTGAACTACTACATGTTATATTTTATTTGTGTTACCCATTTTGCCATTTGGTTGTGGTGGAGGTCTTCAAATCAAGGCAGAGTGTATGCCTTATTTTGTTGCATACAATCTAATTCTCAATTTGTGCGTGATGTTATGCACGACTTTAAAATTGAGACTTTTTGTAAGACATTGTCGTTTTTAACATTCTATGTAACAACCTAGTATTGTGAACTACTACGTGTTATAATTTTAATGTTTTAAATACATATTTCCCACTGGTTGTGTTGTATGGTGCGTTGTGTTATGCACGACCTAAAAACTTGGGTGATAGAAATACCCCAGATTTTACTCCATTTTCGTCTCTTAGACGAGCTTGTGATTTTTGAACACTTATCAAGAAGAACAAAATGGGTAGAAAAAGTAACAAAACTTGAGGACAACGCGCCATTTATTTCTCTTTCTGACAATATATCTGTAGGGAGGCTGAATATTTATGTGAATCTAGAATACACTAATGTAGGAACAGAGCGGTAGTAATGGAGACATATATATAACACATACCACATAACATATATATATATATAACATTTCGTTTGGTTCAAAAAATTCTAATTACATTCTAGTCTTTGAACCTGCAATAACAAAGCTAGACTGAAAGAGACTCTCTCTCCCTCTCTTTGTTCACAAAGTTTTATCATAATGTTCACAAACCTTTACAGATATTACATTTAAAGACATGTTTTAATCAATAAAAGTTTTCAAAAAACAAGTTACCTTGCGCCTATACTTCTGAGAGACAAAAATAAAGATATAACAGATGACAGAACTGCAATAAGGAGTACCACAAAGGGTCATCTTCTAATTCGTTCATTGCTATAAGAATAGAAATACATCACTCTTCCTCAAACATTTCCTTACCAGTAGAGAAGAAATGGATCAAACATTCTATTGAAAACACAAATAATGAGATATCAGAATAGGAAATCCTGTGTAAATTAAAAAGAAATGATACCTGATTCTCAGATGATATTTTTGAGGGAACTTCGGCTGAACCTCCACCCAAGCTACCACATACTAGACGGCCTGGGAAACCTAAGACAGCCCTAAACAACACCTGTACTTGCTCCTTGCTGATCAAACATATCCTTTGCTTGTCTTCATCATAAAATCCCAGCATGTGAACCATTAGATCAAGATTTGTGGTGTCATACAAAAATGGTAATCAATCAGAAATCAAAGTTGAATAGAGCATTCCATAGGGTAGAACTAGCTACTTTGATCAATATTGCAAGAAGTATTCACATTGTTTGTCATTTATGTATTCCCATACTGCAATCTTCCTCCCCTCCTAGTCAATTCCACTGTTGCCAAAGAAAAGAAAGAGCTAATTACCTCTTTGTTGTGGTTTCTTTGAACGTAGGCCACCAATAATTTGATCACAATGCATTTGCAAATTGTAATAGCTAACTTTCATTAAAATCCTACAACTTCCATTTCGCAAAGAAACATAGCAATACGATACAGCTCACAAAACATCAGAGACCTTAGGAAAGCAAATGTTTTATACTTTGATAAAATTTTCCTTAAAATAACTACCTATCATTCGAATTACTTCATCTCATTACAGAGAACACTTATCAATTGCTCCTTCATTTTTCTGATCAGGCGGGTTATTAGACTGCTTAGCTCCCTTTTAATGGTCCCTTCATCTCCCTATCAGGCGACTGAGAAAGGTTAGTATCAGGCGAGGTCAGCTGCCTTATCTCTAATGCTTTCCAGAAGTTTCTCTCTCTCTCTCTCTCTTGTGTGTGTGTGTGATGCAGAAGCCAAAGTATCTGGACCTCAGGGAAGATGACACAAATCTAGTTAATACGATAGTGGTTTGGTTTTTTTACACTGTACCCCTGGTCATTATTCAAAAATTAGCGTATAACTCTGTTATACTTTTGAACTAAATTGTTATCGTTATAAATTCTCTTGCAATTGACAGAATGTAGCATGGAAGCTCATGATTTGAGAGTAAGTGTGTGAAAATATTCGGTCTAATGAAATGGTTTGGGTCTCATTAAAAAATAATAATTGTTCTGGGGAGTTACGTATCATTACATTTTTAAATTTTAAGATCTTGAAAACTTTTTGCTCATCCTTTCCTTTCCTTATACAAGAAATCTAAAAAAAATTAGCATATGTATTAAAGCAACATATTTTAAATTGAAATGATGTGTGCTAGTGCTTCATGCAATAAAATTAAAATGCCCTACCATTTTGGATAATATATTGCAATTTGGTCATTGAAAATATTAAATATGGTTCGGATTAATTTTGCTATTTATTAAAAATAAACAATTAAGTTTATTATTAAACACACAACTTCGAATTTTCTACAAATAAACAAATAACGACTTAGACTTGAGTTGTATCGATATGTGTCTTGTTTTTGTGTTGGAAATTATTATTTTTTCCATGATGCATATGATTTTTGTGATAAAAAGTGTATTGTACAAATTAAATAAAATAATTTTTACAAAATATTTATTGCAATATTTTTTAAAAATGCGTAATTTATTTATTAATATTTTTGGATGTAAAATAGACAATACTAATAGATTGGATTTTTTTTTTCATTCCATTCCAATCATGGTATAGGATTGGATCACATTGTTTTACACAAGGGTGAAATGGTTATTTTACTATGACTTATTTTCACATGTTAATGGGGCCCACAAACCAAATGAAACCTATCCAAAGATGGGATAAGATTTGAATCCCATCTTTATAATCCTCCAATCTAGACCACTTTGCATTGAGTTGGATTGAGTGAGGGATTCCAATCCAATTCAATCCTTTCATAGTGATCCAAACACCACCATAATGGATAATTATCACTGTTCTCTCATCTAACAAGGAGTTAAGTCCACATGGTGGAATGGCCATGACTCTTATACCACTTGTTGGGCATGGGTTTTTAATCCAAAAAGTGCATGCACCTAAAGGCATACTTAGTAGGTGGAGTGACCCACTTCCTTATATGGCCAAAGAACCCTTCATCACCAACTGATGTGGGACTCCTTTGACATCTCAACATTATATTACCATATATACAGTCCAACTAGTTTATATTTCAATCATATAGGATATAAAAGGGCATACTAAGAAAATGCAAGAAAGTTTTGATCTATATCTAACTTTCAATTTTACCCTTATTTTTCTTAAAATATTTTATTAGTTATTAATTTTAAAAAATATTGGTATGAATTTCATTAACTATATAATTTGGTCCAAAGACCTTCGTATGAGTGCTTGTTATAGAATTAGGTTGCAAGCCACTTTTTAAAAAAATTAACTTTTAATTATAGTACATATTTTTTTCTTCTTTTGGCCGATTTAATATAATTAAGGATAATTTAGACAATTAAAAAAATTTTATTGTACTTTTATTTTTTTTCAAACAATAGAATGAAATTTTTTTTAGACTTTCTTGCAATTTTTTCATTCTAATCAAATACATGCATGAAAATATATTTTTTTATCATTTTCTTTTCTTTCACTTCACTTTCTATCATTTTCACTTTGCATCATTCTTTTCTTTTTAACCAAATGGACCCCATGAGTTCGTTTGTTTAGCGAGAGAATGATAAAAAATATAAGAAAAAAAAACTTTTTAAAATTTTAATGTGTTTGGTAAGCATGAAAAAGAAAATGGTAGAAAAAATAATTTTATTTCATACTTGAATTTTCTCACAAATAACTAACTTTTTTTTCTTATAAAAAATACAAGGAAATGCAAGAAAGTTGTAATCTATAGCTAACCTCCCATTTTGCCCTTGTTTTTTTTTTTTTTTAAATATTAGATTAGTTATTAATTTAAAAAAATTTTGGCATGAATTTGATTAATCATATAATATTTGGCCCAAAAACCTTTGTGTTGGTGATTGTCTTAGAATTAGGTTTCGAACCACTTTTTTTAAAAAATTAACGTTCAATTGCAATTACATATTTTTTCTTTTTAGACCAATTTAATATAATTAAAGATAATTTAGACAATTATAAAAAATTTCTTACAACTTTACTTTATTTTAAACAAAAAAATAATTTTTTTAAAAAATTTTCCTGTAAATTTTTTATTCTAACTAAATACATGCATGCAAATATATTTTCTATCATTTTCTTTTCTTTCACTTCACTTTCTATCATTTTTACTTTTCATCATTTTTTTCTTCCTAACCAAACGAATCTCTTGTGTTTTGTACAAGAAAAAAAAGTTAGTTAGTTGTGAGAAAATTCAAGCATGAAACAAAATTATTTTTTTTTATCATTTTTCACTTCATGCTAACCAAACACATAAAAATATTAAAATTTTTCTCTTTCTTGCATTTTCTACCATTCTCCCGCTAAACAAACGGACCCTCTATCTCTCTCTCTGTTATTATCTATATCTCTCCCCTATTTTTTTTTTCTCTTCCATTGATAATTTATTTTCTTTTAAAATATGTAAAGATTTAATTTAATTTTTTCATCTCTCTCCCCTATTTTCTCCCTCTCCCTCGGTCACTCTCTCTCTCTCTATTTTCTTTCACTGTTACTCTCTCTCCTTATTCTCTATTATATCAACGTTACAACAAAAAAATTACACCAATCAGTTTTAATTATCCTATAATATACCAAACAGTTACTCATGTGTTTTAATAAATCAATTACACAAAATTATGACATCAACTCAATTTGTCATTCAGTTGTTTATATAAACTAAAGAGTAATACTATTTAATATCACGATATGGTTACACCAATTATATACACTAAATTTGGTGTAGTGGTAAACTATTTTGTATAATGATAAACCTACTTTGATCTATATAATTGGTGTAACCATGTTGTGATACTAAATAATGTAACTTTTTGACTTATGTAAACAACTAAAAGTTGGGTTGATACTAAAAGACTTATGTAACTCTTTGATACTAAAAGTTGGGTTCATGTCGTAATTTCATGTAGTTGTTGGGTGTAACTCTTTAGTTTGCTAGAACGCATGAATAACTGTTTGGTATATTATAGTATACTTATAACGAATTACTGTAACTGATTGGTATAATTGTGTTGTTGTAATATTAATATAAAGAGAATAAGAAGAAAAAGAGTAACGACGAGAAAAAATAGTGGGAGAGAAAGTGAGAGAGAAAATAGGGGAGAGAGAGATGAAAAAATTAAATCAAATCTTTATAAATTTGAAAAAAAAAATAAATTACCGATGGGAGAAAGAAAAATAGAGAGGGAGAGAGAGAGAAAATAGGAAAAAGAAAGTGATAGAGTAATGGAGAATGAGAATGAGAGTAATGGAGTAATAAATGATCTTTTAGTCTTTTTATTCAAAAAAATATACTTAGGTCCGAATAAATTTTCTTAATATGATTTAATTTAATTAAGTCTAAATTTTTATATCGACTTCCAAATTTTTCTATAATTTAATGGTTCAATGGGTCGTACTAGTGTTGCTTCCGAGCCTAACTTGAGAAGGTTCCAAGGCCCAAACAGGCCAAGTCTCAATATGGGGTACCTTAGCATATCGGGTGGGTGGACGGTTGAATAGGTCCAATTACAAACGAAAACAGGCCCAATAGTAACGAGGAATTCACAGACAAAGTGAAGAAGAGTGTTCTGCATTTTCTCGAGAGAGAAAGAGTTCTCTGATTAAAATGGCGACACTGAGGTTAGTAACCCTAAGACTTCTCAATGGATCATCGTCGCTATCGCGATGTCTCTTCCCTCGTACTCAAATCTTCACAGTCCGAGCTTTCTCCGCCGCCATGTCACCACCGTCCACGGCCGTAGTCTACGACCAACACGGCCCTCCCGATTCCGTCACCAGGTCCCTACTTCCCTCTTTCTCTTTATAATCACCTCAATTTATAATTCGCTACTTCTAAATTATGTACTAGTATCGATCAACATACGGTGCTCAAGTTATATCTGCATTCATGTAATTTGTATATCATATTCGTAACGATTAAAAGATGCAGAGTAACCGAGCTCCCGCCAGTTGAAATCAAAGAAAACGATGTGTGCGTTCGAATGCTCGCTGCTCCTATTAATCCCTCTGATATTAATCGAATTGAAGGTTTGGTTGGTGTCAATTTTGTGGAAATTGGAAATTTTGTATGTGCTTTTGAACTGAGTTTGGTATATGCTGTGGTAGGTGTCTACCCTGTGAGGCCACCAGTGCCAGCAGTTGGAGGGTATGAGGGGGTTGGTGTGGTACACTCTATGGGCGCAGCAGTTAAGAATTTTTCCCCTGGCGATTGGGTCATCCCCTCTCCACCTTCTTCTGGTAAACTCTCCCTCTCTCTCTCTCTCTCAATTTTGCTGGAGTAAGGATGAATTTAAATTGTCCATTATTCTCTTCTGCTTTTATCCTTTATATTTTCTTGTCAAAATTGAGGTGCAATTTGACACTCTTGTAATTCTGCAAATCACAATGTCCTTTGATCATACTATGGGGAAAAAAGTTTTGCATAAGAAGGCAACACCAAAGAATAAAAAAAGGAAGAGGAAAGACTGACTTTCTATTTCTTTAGCTGTCCTCCTAGGTGATGAAGGAAGAGATGTATCATATTTTATGTTATTTAATTCACACCAACATAGTTACTTTGTAAGAACACATTAAAAAATTGTCCTTCAAATACTCTTTGTAAGTTTTTTTTTTCCTGATACAGTTAGAGTATGACAAAATTCATTCTGCTTAGGGACATGGCAGACATATGTCGTCAACGAACAGAATATGTGGCACAAAATAGATAAAGGCACTCCAATAGAATATGCTGCCACGATTACCGTCAATCCATTGAGTGCCCTGAGAATGCTCGAGGACTTCATGGATCTAAAAGCAGGTGCTGGCATTTCTTTCCAGCAATTAATCTTATGACTTCCTTGGCCTGCTTTTTGCTGATTTGGCTGTGTTTGAACAGGAGATGCTATTGTGCAAAATGGGGCTACAAGCATTGTGGGGCAGTGCCTCATTCAACTTGCTCGAATTCGCGGCATCCATAGCATTAATATTATAAGAGATAGGTGCTAATTGATTAATTCTCTTACATATTGAGCTTGCATCCATTTAAGTTTGTTGATGCTATATCTTTTTGAACATATATACAAAAGTAGCATATATGCTTTCTTTTACGTGTTCCCTTGTTTCCTATCGGTTTACCCTCAAATTGGTACAGATATTACTTTGTTAGGGTAGTATAAATCTAAAATATTCTCATGAGTGCTATGATTTTCAAAACTTGGGGGAGTGGCAGTCGCCCCTGCCCACCCTCTTCTAGATTTATCATTGTATTTGGCTAAATATTTTCAACATATCAGACACATGCTTTGAGCAGAAGACAAATTCTGAGAAATCTCGATCTTGTTTATTATATCTTCTTGTTCCAGGGCTGGTTCAGATGAAATAAAAGAAACGCTCCAGAAGTTTGGTGCTGATGAAGTGTTTACTGAGAGCCAACTGGAATTGAAAAATGTGAAAGGTCTCCTGGTATAATATCAACTCATTATAGTTGATACTTTCTGATGTAAGGAGGTCATTATTCTATCACACATGTTTCTTTTTCTGGACGTGACTGTCTTGTATGTATTTGGTGTTAGTTGGATTTTGTGCCTTATGGCAATTTTCTTTTTCATATTTTTTAGTGGCTATTGGATAAGGTTATGTTTGCAGTAAAATATGTCTCATATTTCTTGGTGCATATACTAGGCTAAAATCCCTGAACCTGCTTTGGGATTTAACTGTGTTGGTGGGAATCCTGCTTCTTTGGTTCTCAAATTCTTGAGGTGAGATAATTATATGTTCTTAAGGAACTATTATGTCCTAAAAACGTAGTTTGTCTTAGAAGGTGGATACATTCTTGTTTGCAGGCAGGGTGGAACTATGGTAACATATGGTGGAATGTCCAAGAAACCTATTACTATATCAACGTCATCTTTCATATTTAAGGTAAACCTTGAAAATTTTCCTTTTTATGGTTCTTTTTTTGGCACAAGCTGTTACCAGGCAATAAACATACCACATGTTTATAATGGATATGTAGCTGATATGATGATGTTGGGACAAGTGAGATGATGATAGGATGCTTGAACTAGTATTTAGTTTGGGTAAACCTTGCAGTAAATATAACAGATAATAAAGGAGTGTTGTTGGGCCCTGTTTCAAAAAGAATAAATAGGTTTTAGTAGAATTATGTAAGTAAGCACAAGTTTCAAAAAGTAAGGGTTTAAAAATGCCAATGGTATTCTTGACCATAAGAGATTTAAAGTTTCATGCTTTTATCAAAGATGTTGGTGTTGTCATAAGCAAGCTTGAAAGCCATAGCACTAGTTTTTTCTGCTTCAGTTTTTTGTAGAGAATCGAGAAGTAAAACTTTTCATATCTTACTGTTTAATTGATTTTCATTCAAAGAGAAGGAACTAAGGTGATTGGAAAGGGTACAAGGGGAACAGGTAGGAATTGTTCTCTACTAAACACCGCAAGGCATTTAAATCTTCATAGGCACTTGCCTACATCTTTGACATTCTCTAAATCTCAATTTTGCAGGACCTGTCCTTGAGGGGATTCTGGTTGCAGAAATGGATGAGCTCAGATAAAGCCATACAGTGCAGAAATATGATAGACTACCTTTTGGGCTTAGCACGCGAGGGGAAATTGACATATGCGTATGTTTTCTTACTTTTTATTCTTCTGAAGGAAATATTTGCCCACGTGCCGTTATTAGCATTCTTCCCAGCTCAGTAGTTTTGCATTTTATATGGGGTTACCTTACCTGCCATGATATTACAGGAGCCTTTTGATTGATTTATTTATTTTTTGAATGTTCGGTTAACTACTCTTCTTGCTCGTCTTGTCATATGATCAGATAGTGACTATATTGACATAGTGATGGGGTATCCCTATTTCAGGATGGAGCTTGCACCTTTCAGTGACTTCCACAGTGCACTGGATAAGGCACTCGGAAAGCAAGGAAGCCAACCAAAACAAGTAATCAAATTTTAGTTCTGGCGTGCCAGGGAGAAGGTTGGTTTCCTGTGTATATCGGGTACGTTATTTTGTCTCAGATATGCAGAATGGTGATAGTATTCAGTGAGGCCTCTTGATGACCATCTCAACAAAATGACATATATAGAAGATACGTTTCACTTTGAAGAGCAGAATATCCGGTACTATTCTTTCATTTTGTACTTATCAGGGAAGATCTGTTACTCCTGGTTTTACAACTGAGAAATTTCCAGTTGACATTTCTGTCAAACCACTTGTGAAAATAGAGCACTCATTGCTTTGATTTATAATTGTGACGAAAAAGGCCCATTGCTCACAGGACTGACCCAGCCTCATGGCCCACACTAACATGGTTGACCAACATGTAGAGTCATGGGCCTTTTTGGCCCACTAAGCTGGACGGGCCATCCTGACTATGGCCTAATCAGGAGGCCCATCATAGTAGCTTGTGTCTTGGCCCATGGCACAACAAATTTTGAAAAATGGAAAATGTGAAACTTTAAAAAAAAAAAAAATTGAAAATATCAGCACATAGTATATTTTTCAGGTGGGCCAACCCAAACCTTGCCTGTTGACCAGTATATTTTTCGGGTGAGCCAACCCAACCTTATCTTGATTAGTCAATGAGCTCAACGTCCAGCCTATGACCTGCATGGGCATTTGTTAAGTTGGGTCGGCAACAGGGATGTCAGTTGACCGAAATAGAGACGGGTATAGTCTCTATTTTCATACCCGTTTAAAAAAATTTAGTTCATCTCCGATCCATTCCCGTTAACGAGTATAGTTTTCATTTCTATTCTAATCAGTGGATAAATTTTTAATTCTCGACCCCGTCTCCGCTTTTTTAATACTCACCTAAGCCCAAGTCCAAACTTAAGTTAACATAATCTAAAATTTTAAATAAATTTAACATTTTAAATAATCTAATTACATTCTTAATAATTTAACACAATATAATGTAGCATAACATATTTCAACATAACACAAACAACCAATATTCAAAATACTATTGGACTATTTGTAATTTTCTTTCATCTTCAAGATCATTTTTATTTGTATCTGGATGTAACTTCTTTGCAAGCTGCAAAATGATGGCAAAAGCATGAAACAGATATCAAACGAAACCAAAAACTTCTTATGGAAAAAAGCTACGACCCAACAACGTCATTTTAAAACAGTGAACTAAATCATACGGATATGTCATATATCCAAAAAATAAAAAATAAGAATCACGATAGCAAAAGACTAACTAGACACATAACGTTAGATGGAAAAATTATAAATAGTTTTTACTCACCAATAACTGAAGCGGTAAAATTACATCTAAATAACTTTGAAGAAATTTTAATGAATGCTTGTTATACAGACAACACTATTTCCATAAAATAAAGTAATTATATTAATGTTTGTTTATTGGCTATAGGCCAACACTTGACTAAAATTGAGAACTTAATAAATTCACAATAAGTCTCGTCTTCACAATCCTTTAAGGATAATAATTTTGAACAAGTCAATATAAAACCACCAGTTACCTTTAATATTTATAATAAAGTTGAAGATGAATCCATAAATACACTCAAAGATAAATTAAAAAGATTGTCATTAAATGTAATTTCTAATAGATCTACATATAAATCAACATAATATATTTAAGCTACCATAACAATGTGGCTCTGATACCAATAAGGGGGAGGGTCGATCTACAAGCGCAAAATATAAGTGAAAGCTTTTATTTAATGCAAACTTATGTACAACACACACTTACAGTAGTAGTAGTAGAAGATGGAAGATGGAGGTTTTTACAAGAGAATGCAAGAAAGGAAGGAAAGGAAAGAAAGAAGGAGTAAGTAGTGAGGGTCTGAGATGCGGTGCTCCACAGGTCGGGCCTGCATCTCCTTATATAGAGCCGGACATGAAATTCGAATTTCAAAACTAACCTATACTATTCACAACTTTATACTGTTAACAACTTTAATAATTTACATTGACGTCATTGCATACATCATAAATACTGTACATTTTTTACTGTATAAGTACAATAATTTTATGGTGACGTTATGTCATTCGTCACCTCTTCTGGGTCGGCTTTATCCGAGACTTCAACTTTATCTGATCATTTCCTGTAAAGTAAATTATACAGCATATTACTGATGTCATCATGGAGGTTTATCTCTATATCATCATTTAGCAAATCCTCGTTAATATAATCATCACCTTTAAGAGGGGTATATCCCTAAGAATCCATAAAGTCATTATTAGAGTTAATAGGAGTAGAGATTTTTCTATCTTCCTACTCAACTTTATCTTTCCTTTTGCCTTTTATGGCAACGGTAGAAGTGTTAACGAGGTCTTATTCCGAATGTAGACATAACCTGAAGACGCCACTCTTCCAAAATTGCTGCTTAAGCTGCTTCTTATTTTAAATGTGATTTTTTTTTTAATTTTTTTTTAAGAACTTCAACAAGATTGAAATTAGTCCCAGTATTTATATTAATAGTGGGAACAACGACTGTAGAAGTTGAAGCTTTATCTTCTTGTTTATCTATGTCTTTAAGACATTCCGCAATAATCTGACATTTAGAGTCGGTGGGGTAATTATTCCAGTAACGAACATGATATTCCCAAATTAATTTGGGATGTCTGTTATGACTAAAATCACAAGCCAATGTCCACTCTCAAATCCATGGAACAAAGAATTCAAAAGAGAAATTAATAATTAGTTTTAATGATATATCATTGTCCCTTAAAGACGGACTTTTGTCTTTATATAAATCAAATAATTTTTTCATATGTTCAGGGTATGTACTGTCAATAGCATCATGGGTTTTCCACCAGTCATAAAACTAGTTAAGTAGTTTCGTACAGGTTTCAGTGAACTGGAAGAACCATGGATACTTTAAATTTATAGCATTATACAAAAAAGTATTATTTCAGACTTCAATATAATCAAAGTAGTTATACTTCGTATATGGAGAATTTCTTAGTGTTCTAGGGATAATGAGATTAAGACCCTAGTCTTTAGCAGGTATTACCTTAATATGAGGGCTTTACTATACTGAGAATCTTTATAATCTGAATAATAATTATAAAATCTCTGGAACTTAACAGAGTCGGTTTCAATCAAAATATTCTCATAATATTCTCTGTCTTTATTTCCAGAAAATAAGAATGTCTGATCCATTGTCATAAATCTACCAGCAATATAATATGGATTAGTCATCCAATTAACATATTCATAATCAAGAGTCATTCAACTACTATAAGTAGATAGAGTATGTGACTCTGTAAAATTTAGTTTAGATTTGGCCACAAGAGTTTCTTTAATAAATTTTTTAGATCTAACGACAGTATAACAATCATTATCTTTATAATTACAATTATATGAGGATGAAGATCCTTCACTATTATGTGAAGATGAAGGTCTTTCTTTAAGAAGCTGGTTATTAACAGCTTTAAGCTTTTGAGATTCAATTAAAGGGGGATAATAAGCATTGAACTGGGCTCTTCCACCAGGTCGTCCTTTGCTGCGGCTTCAGCCACGGGTACTACTCTAGTCTCGATTCATGAAAACCCTGCAAAAATTTCCTAATTAGAAAATCGGGAAGAGAATTTAATTCTCCTTTAACATATTCAATTTTAAAATAAAAAACAGATAAGATTGCCTGTCATATTGCAAAGATTTGTTTTGAAGCAATATTTTTAACATCTTATTCAAGAATATTTTTGGCAGTGCTACAATCAATTCTTAATAAAAATTCTTGATTTAATAAGTCATATTGAAATTTACTAACACATTTAACGATGGATAAATTTTTTTTTTTTTACAATAGAATAATTTAATTGAGTAAATCCTCATTTTCCTGAAGTAAATCTAACAAGTACTTCTTTAGCAGAATTGAGGTCCTTTTATTTAAGAATACATTCATATCCTTTATCCGAAGCATCAATTTCACCAATTTTAAACCATGTTGGACTAATCAAAGAAAGACATAGTAAATATTTAGCTTTAAGCTTAATCTTTTTAACTACTTCTGTATGAAGCTCTGTCCAAGGAGACGGATTCTTCTTAAGTCTAGAATATAAAATAGCAGTATCTTGTGCAAGATTTTGATAAAAGTCTGTTAAATAATTTAAGCTTCCCAAAAATCTTTGTAATTGCCTTTTATCTTTAATTTAATCTGAAAATTTGAATGCAAATTCAATACTCCTTTCTATTGGAACTATATTTCCCTGTTCAATATAATGACCTAAAAATCTTACTTTTAATTGAAATAGTTTCATTTTAATAGCAGATAGAACAAGTTCATTGTTCTTGGCAATTTGAACAAATTTATTCAGATGTTTAAAATGTTGATCAATAGAATCAGAAAAGATTAGTATATCATCAATATAAATGATGCAAAATGCATAATAAGGATTAAAAATATCATTCATTATATTCTAAAATTTAGATGGAGCATTTTTAAGCCCAAATGACATAACGTTCCACTCATAATGTCTAAAAGGCACTATGAAAGCAGTTTTATACCTGTCTTCCTCAACAATTTGGATCTGCCAATAACCTGACTTTAAGTCAAACTTAGAGAAAATCTTAACATTATACAATCAAGATAATAAATCCTTTTTTTATTAGGGATTGAATATCTAATTTATTGCAATACCTTATTTAAAAGTTTATAATTTATAATGAATCGAAGAACGCCTCGCTCATTTTCAGCGGCGTTATTAACATAGAAAGTCGCACAACTCCAAGACGAATAACTTTTTCGAATTAAAAATTTTTTCACTAAAGAGCCAATTTCTTTCTTACAAAATTCTAAATAATATTTATTCATTTGAGTTGGACTAGCTTTAGTCGAATATTTTTTTCATTAAATTCTTTGATATAGGATAAGGTTACCACAAGTTTTTTCCTATTCCAAAAACAAGTAGGAATTGTATCACATACTTCCCTAATTATCTTAGTTTCAATTTCTTTTATTTTTGTTTAGTTTCAGGGGAATTAAGCTTATCAGATAAATTCAAGATTTTTATATCTTCTTTTAAAAAGTTTAATTGATTTTTTTTATAAATCAAATTTTTTTTATTTGATTTATCAATTTTATTTGAGGTGGAGTTATAAATTCAAATAATATCTGTTGATCATTTATGGTAGTCAAAATTCCTTTAGAATCAATTCTTTTTATAGGTTCGATTAAAGATAAGAATGGTATTCTCAAAATCACCAATTAATTTAAATTATCAATAAGCATAAAAGTGGAAAAAATACAAATACCTTGGTTACATACAAA